AAAAAAAAGCTTGTCTAGAGGCAAGGTTTATTTCTCCCTACGGACAGTCACGCTGACTGTGACGCAGATTGCTGTGCCACACTCCACTCTATCAACAACCAGTCCGCTTCATCCATCCATGGGTGACAGTATCACCCACACAAATTACACTAAACACTCCAACAAATGGTCCCACCCGTAACTACTACGCAAACACACACTACAACCCCTCGCACAATACCTTCCCCGATTCGATTAGCAAGGACAAGACTAGCAACGCAAGTAATAAACGCACGCACGAAAGCCAGTTATTCTTTTCAAGGAAAAGAAAAATGAAAACAAGAGACACAGTGTATTACGAAGGCCACTAAATTGAGTTAATTGTATGAGTAGGTGCCGATGAGCAAGGAATTAAACGAGCCACCATCTAATCTATGCCAGTGCTGAGTTAAATCACTTTAACGACCAACAGAGATAGCGGGAGAATTACATTGAAAACATATAACAGTGTAATGCTAATATATACATGCATATACGTACATATTTACACGCTTCGATCTTGGCGAGTTTTTCCATACATATATCCGCACTCTTCATCCATTGGCATTAACGTCTGCTCCTTTCCGTCCGCAATGTCACAAACGCAAGATTCACCGCGCCGCACTTTGTACAATTCCAACAGTTTCAGTGAACATTCATTGGCGAACACTGACTACCAATATGTACCTCGCCATCGCCACAGCCTCGACAATATACACATCCTTCGCACACTCACAGAGAAAATAGTGACTACACCACATTGTACACTTGGTTCCGCTTTCGGAGGTACAATTTCAGCTTCGTCTCCACACATCCAGCAGCTGCGCCAACAATCTCCGATTGGAGAAACATTGCGGCACCCGTGAAAACACAGTGAGATATGGAATAAGGGTCTGAATAATGACAGAAAAGTTAGTAGATGAACCTAGGAAGCACGTCAAAATCTCGTTTGTTAAAAAATACTTACCATCTCGGCCTGGGTTTGTTAAAATCACGATTGCTAAAGTTGTAGGAAACGTAATTCACTTCGTTGACAGAGAAGGAAGCACCCAAGTACGCCCGCCCTAGGCGCTGCACCTTTATTTGATACATTCTATAAAAAAGGATACTATAACAACTGGAATAAAGTCCATGTTACCATGTAATTGTGAAAAGATATTGGGAAGAAAGGCAATAGGGCCGCC